GTAAACTCAGTTTTTTTCTAAACTTTAGTATTTGGTATATTATACAGGGTTAATCAATGGGTTGTTTTTTTACCCTAACTTTAAATCACCCTGTGCAATAATTTCGTCTGCAAAATTTTCTAAAATATAGTTTTATGGTCAGAACCATGTCTCCTGAGCATTTTGTTTTTTGGATCATGTCAATACATGGCATGGTTAATTTTTAAGAGCGAAATGAACTTGCCACCAACAATTTGCAATTTTTTCAATTATCATTTCTTTTTGAAGTTATTTTTCAACATGACAAGGCGGCTTCGATGATTACTGTGAACTATACAGGGTGGTCCGAACTGTATTCCGGAAACTTCGGCAGCATACTCTGCAGATAAAAAATAAGTAAAAATCTTCGTATAAATATATGTCCTAAAATGCTTACTTTCGGAGATACAGGGTGTAGAAGTCGCATATTTATTTCGATTTATTCCGAATAATTTCTGATGTAATGTCAATATTTGGATGAAAATTGGGGACTGGGAGTTTTTTAACATGAGAAATTTGATTTTGATGTCAAAATGATTCCGATTTGTAGGGGGTGCCACCTACATGTGTTTTAACTGATTTGAAGAGTAATAACTTTTCGTCCGTACCTGTATAAAACTACTGAGTGAAAATATGTACATTTCCGTGATTTTTTACGTAAAAAATGTCGCTTGCTAAAAATCGTTAATGGAAATAGTCAATACATGCCATTATCGAAAAAAAAATATATACACGTTGAGTAGATAATTATTTGACTGAAATAATAAATTTGGGAAATTTTCATTTTTTTAAATTAGGTAATCATAAATTTTTCTTCGGAAAAATGATGACAAAATAGTTTCTGTTGGCACAGAAACATTTCAAATTTATGATTTCAGTCTGATAACCATTAATCCTAGCGATTTTTACCAAGAGACCTTTTTTACGTAGAAAACGTCGTAAATGTGTATGTTTTTACTCAGTAGTTACATACGGTACGGACGAAAAGTTATTAGTCTTCGAAAGAGTTAAAAACTATGTAGGTTGCGCCCTCTACAAGTAGGAGTCATATTGACATCAAAATCAAATTTCTCATGTCAAAATATTATTTGGAAAAAATCGAAATAAATATCAAACATCTACACCCTGTATCTCTGAAACTAAGCATTTAAGTACATACATTTATAGGAACTTTTTTACTTATTTTTATCTGCAGAATATGCTGCCGAAGTTTCATCATGTTCGAGGTTTGGGAAATGCTTGGCACGATGGTTATAGGTCGCGAAGCGGTACCAGTTTCATTAAATGAACTTCGCTTGGTTCTTAAAGAAGAATGGGAATGTATAACGGAATATGGTATATACCGCCTCAGTGACAGTACGAATGGACGTATACAGGCAGTTATAGCAACCAAGGGAGGCAATATAAAGTATTAGTTCTGTTAAATATCGTTAGTTCTGTTAAAACCAGGACTGAAGCGTTAGTCTTTAACGTTATTTTAAATTTAGTATTGAATATCCAACGCAACGTAATATGACGTTACGACAATAGTAACCAAAACCATCTCGTCATATTAAAAAATTACATCAAAAAGTAATGATAATTGAAAAAATTGCAAATTGATCGTGATCAGTTCATTTGGCTCTTAAAATTTAACCAAAGTATGTATTGATATGAATAAAAAAATGCTCAGGAGCTATGGTTCTGACCGTAAAATTAAATTTTAGGAAAATGTACACACGAAATTATTTCACAGGGTGTTTTAAAGTTAGGGTAAAAAAACAACCCATTGATTAACCCTGTGTAATATCATGTAATATGCCAAATACTAAGACCAATAATAATAGAATTAAATGCCAAATACTGCGTTTACAAATTAAAGTTGATATAATTGCTATATACAGCTTACTAAAAAATCATGAAAATAGGGCTAAAAATAACAAAATATAACACTGAATTTTACCAAAAATTTCTCCGTTGCGTTTTCTTTGCATCTGAGTGTAGGTCGATGGTCCCTAGAACGACCCCTTTAATTTAACCAACTAATCAGTTGCGTAGACGTGTATTATCGCCCAGTTTGTTTGCTAAAGGACAGAACAAGAGACACAAAAAAAGGACAAAAGAGAAGTAACAAATTTAGAGAAATAGAGAATACTTGATCATAAAATCCATTTGTTTATTTGCAAAAACACATAAAAATCGTTCTTTGCATAACTTAGGAGCTAATAAAATCCATTCCCCCTTCCAATAGGAACCCCCTGTCCCTCTCCAGAGCCACAAACAGAGTCGTATTTTTATTATTTTGGCTCTCCGGAGAAAAAGAGGACCGTAACCGTCTTCATTCTGGGTCATAAATAAAAACAGAATGTAATTTTAACGCGCGCGCCGCATCTGGGTCACGCAATTTTCAAAAATATCGCCTTCCGTTAAAACTAATATTTATTGTTACGAGAGAAGATTTCGGCTACTTGAGTCTCTAGCGGTGAAAATTATATCGTATGATAGAAAAAAAGGTCGTCATAGACGGCTGGGAATGACAATCGATGACAATTTTGGCGAGGTAAATCTGTAGACGAATGTAGAGAAAAAGAATAGAACGTTTCCATACACACAAATCTATTTGCAAAAATTATTTTCCTCGAATTTTAAACAACACCATTAAAAAAAATATATTTATATAATCAAAAATCTTTCTACCCAAAGGTGTAAGGTATACTAAATTAAATAAATTCACTTCTTTGCATAACTGTATTCTGATATTTTCAGTTTTTTTTTAATTGTTTCTATCATTAACTTTGATAATAAAAAATATATTTATATATTAGAAAATATATACTATATATTTATATATACAGCATGGCGCACCTCATTCGCCTCGGTTGATTATACGAGAACGGAAAGATGTAGAAACCAAATATTTTATTTTATTTTGAAATATACAGGGTGTGTCAGAACTAAGGTCTATACCAAAGTTATATTTTTTCTTATGGAACACCCGGTATTTTATTTCATTTTTGGATTCTTAGACATAAAATAATGTATTTATTATAAGGGTTTAATATGTTTAAAAGCTTTGGGTTTTGAGATATTTAAAGATATTTAAATATGCATGCTATAATAAAAAAGTTTGTCAACACCCTGTACATTACTTTTCAGAATTAATTTTTGTGCTGACCCTCAAGCCAGAGAAATAAACTTTACTAAAAAATTTGATTGCTTCCTTAAACGTATACAGGGGTATCAAAAAGTGGTGGTCAATTTTAAATATTTATTTTACATAAAAACTTCGTTATTTCAAATGCAACACTATTTATTTTTTTAAATAAGTCGAAGCAGATTTAAATACTCTTTCAAACTATATTAAGGTTTCCTATACCTATCTGGCTCAGATTTTGAATAAAAAGCGATTTTTCAATAAAATTGTAATCAAGATGGCTGGTGTCGCCATGGCAATTTTCTAGTGACACTTAGTAGCTATTTTCAAAATCGACATTAGTTTATGGACTTTACTTAAATTTATAACAGGTTATTTTTATTTAATTTACCTACAATAATGTTAATAAGTAAGTATTTATTATTTTATCAAAAAAATGAAGCAGTATCTGCTGGGGGAAGGAAGAGATTACTAGTAGTAACATTACTAGTGATTTTATTTGCTACTTAGCTTCAAGGGTTTATGCTCAAAGATAGATAGATAATATAGATAGATAGATAGATAGATAGATAATAGGAATTTTATTGACAAGCGTTCCTTTGAAAAACTACTTTCCTATTTCGCAGAGCTGATAGTGTGGTATATGAAAAACCTATTAGGCAGAAACCTGTCTTTGGAAGTGAAGAAAATGAATTTGCCTTAATTGGTTATTTTATAGAAAATCCAATATATCTACAAGTCATTGTAATATAAATCAAAGAACTACTTGTTTATTTTTCTTGATAAAATAATAAATACTTACTTATTAAACTATTGTAGGAAAATTAAATAAAAGAAAACTGTTATAAATTTCAATAAAGGCCATAAACTAATGTCGATTCTGAAAACAGCTACTAACCGTCACTAACAAGTTGCCATGGCGACACCGGCCATCTTGATTGCCATTTTATTGAAAGATCGCCTTTTATTCAAAATCTGAGCCAGATAAGTATAGGAAACCCTAATATAGTTTGAAAGAGCATTTAAATCTGCTTCGACTTATTTTAAAAAAAAATTTAAAAAATACATAGAGTTGCATTTGAAATAAGGAAGTTTTTATGTAAAATAAATATTTAAATTAGACTAGCAATTTTTGATACCCCTTTATACATTTAAGGAAGAAATCAATTTTTTTAGTAAAGTTTATTTCTCTGGCTTCAAAGTCAACACAAAAATTAAATCTGAAAAGTAATGTACAGTGTGTTGACAAACTTTTTTTATATAGCATGCATATTTAAATATGTAAAACTTGGAAAATAAATTGGTTATAATAATGGTTTTATAGCGATTTTACAAATATCTTTAAATATCTCAAAACCTAAAGCATTTAAACATATTAAACCTTTATAATAAATGCCTTATTTTATGCCCAAGAATCCAAAAAAGAAATAAAATACCGGGTGTTCCATAAGAAAAATATAAATTTGGTATGGATCTTAGTTCTGACACACCCTGTACATTTGAAAATAATTTTAAATTATGCACATTGCCTCTTTACATATACCCATAAAATATTTTGTTTCCACATCTTTCCGTTTTCGTATAATCAACCGAGGCGAATGAGGTGCGCCACCCTGTATAGTATTTGGTTATGTTTTCGTTTCAAAAAAATTAATTAAATTATATGACCTTTATGCGACGGTAAAATACTGACATTTTTTGCTACTCGAATAATGAGAGAGCTATAGTCATTGATATGAATATTTAATTTTTGGGTTTTTTTGGTCGTTGAAGACGGTCGTGCAAGACGGTCGGGCAAAACGTTTGACTCATAACGGGACAATCAATATTAAGCTAGTACTGAAATTACCTTCTAATCCGTTTCCAATGGGTATTAGTTCACCTCCTTCACGTCTCCACGTCACTGAAGGTTCGGGAGAACCAGTGGCGGCACACCTGAGACTTATGCTAGAACCTTCTCTTGCCACCATGTCCGCACTAGTAGGGTAGTCTAGAATGTCCGGTGGTACTGCAAGGACAAAATTATATACATACCATTAAAATAATTCCAAGTAGCAAAATGGATTATTAGATATTATATTCTGATATTTTTTGTCACGCAAAATTTTTCAATTTGATAGTTGTTTAGTTGGTTATAGTCCGGTCAAAAACTTTAGAGTTTTTATATTTATACTAGCGTGTACCAGCGACTTCGTTCGCATCGAATTAATCGTTTGTAATGGTGATGATAAAGCAAAGCAAGAATTTCCATTAACATACAAACTGGATAAAATTTTCTCACATTTATGTTAGCATGAAAAAAAACAATGGTAATATTTGAGGGATAGTTTCATCTCGTTGGAATTTGACTTTCAAAAAATCCGTTTGCCAAAAATAAGCTTTTTACGTTAAGCAATTTCAGCAGAATCGTGGTTAAGAAATTACCCAACTTTTTGAAACACCCTGTATGATTTTTTAAAAAATTTCAAAACATGTAAAGAACCAAATAAATTATGCTTGTCCAAGCGTTTTCCCAAAAGACTAACCGTTTTTTAAATAATAAATATTGTATTATTTGAGGGGCGTTTTCACCCTCTTGGAATTTGAGATTGGAGAAACCCCTCCTTATCGAACCTCTACACCCCACAGTCAATCCGTTTACCAAAAATCAGCTTTAAACGTCAAGCAGTTTGAGCAGAATCGTGATTACTCAATGGTTATATTTTATGAAGCACCCTGTATAAATTTATAAAAAATCTTAAAATATGTAAAACAACGAAATAAAATATACGTGTTTAAGTGTTTTTCCGAAAAACTCACCGGTTTTTAAATAAAAAATATTTTAATATTTGAGGGATAGTTTCACCCCCTTAGAATTCGAGTTTAGAAAAATCCCTTCTTATCGAACCTCTACAACCAAAAATCAGCTTTTTACGTCAAGCGCTTTAAGCAGGCTCGCGATTAATCAATGACCAGATTTTGTGAGTCACCCAGTATACATTTTTAAAAAATCTTAAAATATGTAAAAAAACAAAATAAAATATAAGTGTTTAAGCGTTTTTTCGGAAACTTGACCGTTTTTTAAATAAAAAATATTGTAATATTTGAGGGGTGGTTTCACCCTCTTGAAATTGGAATTTCGAAAAATCCCTTCTTATCGAACCTCTACACCCTAGAATCAACCTGTATGCCAAAATTGAGCTTCTTACGTTGAGTGGTTTGAGCAGGATCCTGATTAATCAGTATGTCAGTCACTTAAGGATTTTATATATTAGTATCTTTGAATAAGAAGACTAAGGAAGGAGCATAATGCTATCCATGTATTCATGCATGGTGGGCGGAAAAGCCACCATAAAAGCTCTCTAGGGTGGGGATCCTTGACAGTTCTGTTTGACGATTCATTTGACACATTTGAATTTGATTTGAAATTTTGTGGATTTGTCAGTCTTTACGGAGCTTATTTTATGTTATTTATTATTTATTACTGATAGTTGTATAAAGGTAGTAAATCTAGATGGAAATTGTGGCAGAACTTAAATTAACAGTGACACTATCGCGATTTATCGAAAAAGTCTCTAAAATAGTTGGTTGTGTAGCGTGCAGTAGATCTCGGCAAAAATTGAGTGAAATATTGGAACAACTTTTCGCTAGTAAGTGACTATATAATATACATACGTGTAGTAAACCGATCATTTATGAAATTCACTTAAATTAACTAAATTATATATTTTTCTTGCATTTTAGCTTTTATTTTTTACTTGTCAAAGATTAGATGTCAAAGAATTTAGATACGTTAATTTGACTTACCTGCTTCAGTAGCGTATCGGATGTTTGTGTTAATAAATACTTATTATAACTTATCTATTTTTATTAGAATTATATATTTTTATAACAATTTTAATAATTACCAACATTTATTCACAACGTAAAATAAGACAACAAATTATTGAGTCTACCCCACGTCTACCCTACATCATAGTTTTACATTTTTTAAATAAAATTAGAACGACACTGATAAACCGGAATTTAAGTCGGCCATATTTGAGGCCCATCGCGGTGTACTTAAGATTTTTGATATGCTCCTTCCTTAGTCTTCTTATTCAAAGATTAGTATAGACTTTGCTGACGATTTTATCAATACAGGGTCCGCCAATAGCGTATCAGGCATCTGCAACTTCTACAGGGTGATTCAAAAAACCGGTGCCATCTCTCGTGGGGAGATTCCTCACCTAAAAATAAGATTTATTTTTCAAATCAACGTAGGTCCGATTCTGCTTTGTTTCGTAGCTACAGGGTGTTAAAATCTTAATATTTTTCCGATTTATTATAATTTTCTTCCAAGTACTTTTAGTGTTTCGAATGAAATTTTGAGGGTAAAAGTTACTATAAATGCGGCTTATTTTAAGTCTAAAAAAGTGTCGACATATCCACCAGGGACGTGCATATGGGTTATTACTGAAATATTTTTCTAAAAAAGCATGTGCGCCACTGACTTTTTTTCTAGTTAGGGAAATAAGCAGTTTAATGCCGATTAAAAGTTGCCTCTCTTCTTCTTGTTGTTGAAAAAAAATACCAATTTTGTCGATTTCGGCCTCCTTGATGAGATAAACGCAATTTTATTAATTTGCTTTGATCCAAGTCTATTAGTAGGTTTAAAAAAAAATTAATATACATAGGTATTACGAGTATATACATATCATTAAAATAGTAGAAAATGTTTTAAATAGGTACACTAAAAACACACAAAACTTACAGGATGTTAAAACTTATTAAAATTAGTTTTTTTTTGTAATTATCCTAAGTACCACTTTTTTATTTGAAATTACTGTAGGTTGAAGTAATAGTAATAATATTTCGTAATCAATTAGTTAAAATATATGATTTATTTATTTTATTTTTATTTTAATGTTATTAATTGTGATTAATAAAATTGCGTTTATCTCATCAAGGAGGCCGAATTCCACAAAATATGGAGAGATAACTTTTAATTGGCATTAAACGGCCTACATTCTTTTGATTATAAAAAGAAAGAAGTCAGTGGCGCACATGTTTTTTTTTGAAAAATATTCCAGTGATAACTCATATGCACGTCCCTGATAAATTTATCGACACTTTTTTAGCATTAAAATATGTAGCACGAATAGTAACTTCTAAATTCAAAATTTCATTCGAATTACTAAAAGTACTTGTAAGAAATTTATAACAAATCGAAAGATTATTAAGATTTTAACAAATAGAAAATATAAAATAGAAATATAAATCTTATTTTTACGTCAGGAATCTCCCAACGAGAGGTCGCACATGTTTTTTGAAACACCTTGTATAATTCAATAGTTTTAGAATTCCAATTCTACTATTTGGGATAGCACAATACAAAAAACTATGATACGTGTTTATTTATTGTTTATTATTATAAATTCAATTTAATATTATTAATAAAGTATAAATCGGATCACGAAGAAAATAATTTTAAATACACAGATCACTCACCAACAATTTTTTTATTAGAATATGTCAAAGCTGTAGGTTCTTTAGGGATAAAAAATTAAATGTCAAAAGGTCAGAAAATCCCATGTTATTTAAGTTGGAAAAGTATCATGATTCAGCCACGGTTTAAATTAAAAATTAAGAGCTTGTTTACGTTGGATCAATCAACTTGGGACATAACGGACACCCTACTACACTGTATTAGACTTTTACAATATCAATACTTTTAGAATCCCAATTTTGCTATTTGGAATAGCACAATATAAAAAAATATGAGACACGTCTATTCGTTTTTTAATAGTTTGAACTTAAATTAATATTTTTAGAAAAGTATGAATCAGATTACCAAGAAAATCGTTTTAAATACACGAATCACTCACCAACAACGTTCAGATAGCCCACTTGGCTCTTCATCGGGTCCGTGTTGATCTGACACATGTACCAGCCTTTATCCGACTCCCTGACGTCACGAATGTGCAGATACCAGCTCCTGCGCTCCGCCTGCGTTACGGCGATGCGATGGTTTTTCGTGATAACGTGACTATGAATGGTCAAGATAGTCTGCGTGTCCACTCTCAGCCAGGCGACCTGGAAATTTACGGTTTGGCATGTAGCACGAATAGTAACTTCTAAATTCAAAATTTCATTCGAATTACTAAAAGTACTTGTAAGAAATTTATAACAAATCGAAAGATTATTAAGATTATAACAAATAGAAAATATAAAATAAATCTTATTTTTACGTCAGGAATCTCCCAACGATAGGTGGCACATGTTTTTTGAAACACCTTGTATAATTCAATAGTTTTAGAATTCCAATTCTACTATTTGGGATAGCACAATACAGAAAACTATGATACGTGTTTATTTATTGTTTATTATTATAAATTCAATTTAATATTATTAATAAAGTATATATCGGATCACCAAGAAAATAAATTTAAATACACAGATCACTCACCAACAATTTTTTTATTAGAATGTGTCAAAGCTGAAGGTTCATTTGCTTTAGGGATAAAAAATTAAATGTCAAAAGGTCAGAAAATCCCATGTTATTTAAGTTGGAAAAGTATCATAATTCAGGCACGGTTTAAATTAAAAATTAAGAGCTTGTTTACGTTGGATCAATCAACTTGGGACATAACGGACACCCTACTACACTGTATTAGACTTTTACAATATCAATACTTTTAGAATCCCTATTTTGCTATTTGGAATAGCACAATATAAAAAAATATGATACACGTCTATTCGTTTTTTAATAGTTTGAACTTAAATTAATATTTTTAGAAAAGTATGAATGAGATTACCAAGAAAATCGTTTAAAATACACGAATCACTCACCAACAACGTTCAGATAGCCCACTTGGCTCTTCATCGGGTCCGTGTTGATCTGACACATGTACCAGCCCTTATCCGACTCCCTGACGTCACGAATGTGCAGATACCAGCTCCTGCGCTCCGCCTGCGTTACGGCGATGCGATGGTTTTTCGTGATAACGTGACTATGAATGGTCAAGATAGTCTGCGTGTCCACTCTCAGCCAGGCGACCTGGAAATTTACGGTTTGGCCGTTAGGTAAGTAGATTGTGTCTTTTAACATGTTACATTCATTTTTAATTAGATAAAATTTAGTAACATAGGATGATTAAGTCTAACTCTATACCCTACTGGCAACACTCGGTTTTGGATGCAATATTTCTTTAATAGTTTATTATATAAAAATACATCTGCTAATATTGTAATAAAAACGTTATTTTTACGCAGAAATGGTTTTATTGGGATTTAATACTATAAAATTACTAATACTAATAAAATTACTTTTTAGTCTATGCTAAAATAGTAATTTTTTTATTAAAGACATCAGATGGTATTTTATCGTCGACCGAAAAGATTAATTCACGAGCGATGAAATCGCGAGTGAATTAATAAGCAATAACGAACATAAGCAGAATAGGTATAGCTTATGCATTAGATTCATTAAATTTATTTCAATAAATTTACTTAGAAAAAAACTAAGAAAATCAAAAAATTAAGAAGGAAATAACTAAGAATTTACTAAAATTACTAAAATAAAAAATTAAAAGCAACGAAAAAAAAAATGGGAAACATTTTAGTATTTTATCTATAAAACACAAGATTACAGTTGGGGGTTGGAACCTTTGGTGTTGCACAGCAAAATAAAACACTAAATCACCACAATACACCAAAACACTTTTACTTTTGCACCGGACGCGCGTTTAGCTAACCATGTTAGCAACATCAGCAGATGATTAAGACCGTCAGGCAATTAAGTCTTAAATAAATAAATTCCTTAATAATAAATTCCGAGGTAAGAGTATCTGGGGGGCACTCCACTAGAGTAATCTCAACTAGTAGTGGGAACTATCGAATGAATACTATCGAAACATTCGATAGTTGCAATTCATTCGAATAATTCGACAGCTAGTAAGAAAACATTCGTCTAAAACTATTCGAATAAAAATTATCGAATAGATGCGTCATCTGCCTTGAAATATTGTATTCTAGTAATTCGGCAGCAGAAACCATTTATTTATAAAATTCAATCATTTATAAAATTTATTTATTCGTCAGGATGGATTATAATAGAATATAAACTGGATTTTAGTTGTCGCCCGGCGACGTAGGTTTCTTTGCTAGAAACCCGACAGCGGTCGGTGGCAATGCTATGAAAGAAGCCGGCATCTTTGATTTTTTGCGGAGTCAGATAAAGATAAGGACACATTATTTTTTTATTGAGGTGCTAGTATTTACACAGAAAATACATTATGAAGGGCGCTATTGTCATATATTGGTATTAGTTGATATTAGCAAAGAATATTATTCTTTGGCATTAGTTAGTTAGGGATAGTATGTCTATATATTTTGCATTTTTTTATTAATATTCTGTTGTTTGGATGTAGGAAAATTAGTTTTAATGTTTTTAAGCAAAGACTGGTTTAATAACAGTAATAATTTGTTATAACTATTAACAATAAAATTTAAAATCATTTAATATAAATATTTTTTTTAAGTAGTAGCAAAATATAAACAACAAATTAGAAGTAAAAATTATTTATATTAGATCCTATTTAAAAATAATATAGTCCCTAAATTTTTTGTGGCAACGATGGTTTATTAAATAATAATAATTATAGAACTAATTTGTTATATTAACAACAAATTTTAAAATCATGAAATATAAACATTTATTAATTTTCTAAGCATGCAGTGTAATGGAAGGAAAATATAAATAAAAAATTAGAAATCAAAATTATTTACATTACTTTATATTACTATTTAAAAATAATATTTACTTTTACTGGCATTTATTTTAAAAAATAAATAAAATATTTCTTCGCCAAAAACGACATGTAAGAGAATTAGCATAAACAAAATACAAGCATCGTTAACTTCTTTTTAAATTGGCACGTATAAAACTTTCAATTTAATTTTCTCACCCCAAAATTTGAGTTTGATAACCCCATTTACTTAACCACATTACTTAAATATGATTATTAAGTTCAACTAATTCATATTATTAAAACATTTAAAATACAAATATGTATTTTTAAAATAAATTGTAAGTTCATCTCATCTCTCTTAAAAATTGCTACTTCTCAAAATTTCCCATTAAAAAAATAGACCATATACCATATAAAATTAAATAATTGAAAGATCGGGCTACGGAAAATCACAAATCACACAAAATTTGAAAAGAAAACTACTATTTTAGTATTTTAAATATTTTAATAAACGTAAAAATAGCACAGTATTTACAAGACGAAGTTATAAAACTTGGGAAGAACCAATAATGCACTGACGCACACAAAAATCAAACGAATACTAAATTTCATTTATCAAAAGCATTCGATAGTCAACGATAACCATTTAGTCGCACGGCGAGGTTGTTACATACATATGCTTTAGTATACAAATGAATGAATGATTTTATTCGAATAAAACCATTCGATAGTTGAAATCATTCATTCAGTAACCCTTCGATAGTCTAATTCATTCCATATTTCCCATCGCTAATCTCAACCTAGTTACGAATTCGCTGTAAAATTAACAGAGGAGCTAGTATTTGGACAGTTTACAAAATTTGCATGAAATTTCCTGTTTCCAACGACTCACTCCGTCACTCTAGTCATGTTCTCCGTATTTTTATTTAAATTTAAATATATATATATATATATATATATATATATATATATATATATATATATATATATATATATATATATATATATATATATATATATATATATATATATATATATATATATATATATATATATATATATATATATATATATATATATATATATATATATATATATAAACATAAGGCTCATAAATATTATCTATTGCAATAAAAATAATAACAATGAAAAATAATTCTCTTTGCTTTGCCTTTGCTATTTACATTTTTTATCTCCCATCATGCTTTAATCTCCCACAAACAAAGACACGAGACATAAATTCTCCTCTCATCATCAATATCTATAACCCCATTCCCACGAAAATATGACAATAAATTTTATTTTCAATTAAATCAAGCGCTCTATCTCTCTCACTCTCACTTCCTTTTGATATCATATCAAAAGATATTCGTGTGATTGATCAGTGTTATGGAAATTTTAATGGAATAGGGGGACGACGGGGTAGAAAAGAACAAGGAACTAAAGGCTGAGTAGGGGAGGGTCGACCTTCTCGGTTAAAACATTTAATCTCGGCATCCCGTTGCTCAAATCGTGCGTTAAAAATGATAGAGGGTGAGGGTGGGATACAAGTGGAAAAGCAGAAAAGAATGAACTTATGTTTGAACATGCAAGCTTCCAGGGTGAAACAAGCTTTAAAATGTTATATTTTTTGTTTAATCTTTTGTTTAGTACTAAATTTAAGAAGTAAAACAGTTTAACACAGAATTTTAAATAAGGAGTATTTATAACAGTTGTCTTCTTCTTCTTTTGCTTATTTGAGATCTAGTCGATCTGTTAGTTTTAATTGCCAACTGTCTGTCCATCTTTTTTGAGGCCTTCCCGGCTGTCTCTTACCCATGGGTTTCTCTTCAAGAGCTATGCCTGATAGCCTATTTTCTTCCATGCGTTTTACGTGTGCGAACCATTGTCTCTTTCTTTGCCTACCCCATATCTCACTACGTCCTGTATTCCACATTGTTGTCTGATATTTGTGTTTCTAAATCTGTCTCTTCTAGTCTTCTCCATTATGGTTCTTAAGTTCTTCATTTCAGCGACTCTTAACATGCTTTTGGTCTTGTTTGTTTTCTCTCAGTTTTCTATGCCATATGTCATTATTGGTCTGATGCAGGCCTTATCAATTTTAATTTTGCAGTCTGTTCTTATGAAGGGGTTTGTTCACACTATTTGCCTCAGACATCCTGACATGGCCGTTGCTCTTTTACTCTGGCTTCGCAGATCTTTCTCTGGATCATGATAGTGCGACATATCTATTCGTAGGTATCTGAACTGTGATACTTGCTTAATAATTTTGTTTCCTACTACCAGTTTGCATCTTACCGGCTCTTTAGAGAAAGTTAAGCATTGAGTTTTTTTCTGTAGAGATAATCATATTTAATTCTCAGCTTACTTGATAGAATTTATAAAGCTGTCTCTGCATATCATCCTCTGTCTCCGCGATAATGGCTGCATTATCAGCGTAACACACCATGCTAACTCTGTTGTGTTATAGGAAAAATCCGGTGGCTCTCAAAATTAAAAAATAGTTATTTATGGTACTAGTGAGTTATCTTACATATAATTATATATTATACAGACCGGACCACCGTAGTAGTAACATAGGCAGAACCGGACGAATTAACCTATACCCGTCCTCCGGATAAAAGACAGGCGAAAAAATGCAATCAAATAAAAATAGGTAGATATGTGATAAGAATGTTTCAGAATTTGTATTTATTCGTGTTTTAATAGCCGAATACATAGATTCTCGCGAGAGTTCTCGTGTAAAATTTATTTTTGAAGTAAAAGAATGGTTGTTTACGAAGTTCGTGAGAAAATTCAAATTGTAAAATGGTATTTACAAAATACGTCTTATCGGGACATACAAACAATTTTTCCACAAACTTTTCTAAACAGGCCTATTCCATCTTTACCTAATATATCAGGAGTTATTAATAATTTTGAAACACATGGGTGCGTGTCCCCACAAAAACACAAAAAGCCTGATATGTTGATTAATGAAGAACAGGAGTTAAAGCAAGTGTTCGTTTGTGCTACAGCGGATCAAAATCCCACGTTTACAAGTAATCAAATTGCTGAGGTGGTTGCCCTGCCCACAATGCCCGTATTGTTCAAGAATATGTGAACAAGTTTTTCCCAACCGTTTAATTAGTGGAAACAGAACTATTTTGTGGCCCGCTAGAACACCAGATCTGTCTCCCAATGGTTTCTTTTTGTGGGGTTATGTAAAATCCAAAGTGTATGGTCATAATAGGGCTAATAATCTGTACGACCTTCAAGTAAAAATACGAGAGGCTTTCCAAACTATTAGCTCCAATGTGTTAGCCAA